CGTACGAAGACTATCGGCCATCGGATGCCGTATTGGATCCAAACAGTGATGCACTCAATGCTCACTACAAAAGTCTTTTGCTTAAAGAGTATTCAAAACTATTGATATATTTTGAGGCAAATGTCGTGCAAAACATTGATTCCGACGATAATTACGTTTATACGGGAAGTACTGGTTATGCGTTACTATATCTTCATTTGTCACTTGTCTTCAATGATCACAAACTCTTAGACAAAGCGCTCGCATATATCGACCCATTGGTCGACAAAACATCGCCGAAGAGATTGACATTCATTTGCGGCGATTCTGGCGTTTTGGCCATTACTTCAAGAATTCATTTCTTGAAAGCCAATCAAAGCGAATGCAATGTTTCGTTGAATGCATTGAAATCATTGATTCAGTTGTGTTCAGACGCTGGAAGTGATATTCCCGACGAACTCCTGTACGGAAGATCTGGTTTTCTCTATTCATTACTTTATGTCCGAAAGTTTGTCCCAATTTCGCGTCAAATCATTGAAGACAAAGACATCAGAGCTGTCGTCGACTCTATCATTAAATCTGGTCAAAGAGGCGCTCAAAAGGACAATATGAATGCCATTTGTCCGCTAATGTATTACTGGCACGAAAAGGCATACATCGGCGCCGCTCACGGGTTGATGGGAATCATGGCTTTGCTTTTGGAGGCCAAGAGTTATCTGACGGACGAAGAGTTAGACAAATTGGTGAAACCGACCATCGATTACATCCTAACACTGCGACTCTTGTCAGGCAATTATCCCTCGAGTTTGACTAATTTAAGTGACCGTTTGGTCCACTGGTGTCACGGAAGTGCCGGAGCCGTCAATTTGTTTGCGTTGGCGTATGAGGTGTTCAAAGAGGAGAGATATCTAACGGCAGCCAAAGATTGTTGTGAAGTCGTGTGGAAGAGAGGACTTCTCGTTAAAGGTTTGGAGTTTTAAATAAGTTTTGAATACTCATTGACTTTGCTGTGAATTTAACGATAAGGGTATGGCTTATGTCACGGGACGGCCGGAAACGGTTACGCCTTCTTAAGGATGTATCAGTTGACCAAAGAAGAGAAGTATGTGTTGAGAGCCGTTCGGTTCGGTCAGTGGTGTTGTGATTACGGGTCTCACGGCTGCCGTACAGCCGACCGACCGTTTTCTATGTTCGAAGGACTCGCAGGAACTCTATATTATTTAACAGATCTGTTGCGACCAAAGAATAGTCGATTCCCTGCCTATCAGTTGTCTTAAATGACTCGTGTATTCATTCATATTTTTGTTTGTTATTTATAATATGTTTAATGTTTTGCATTTATATATTTGTAATTATTTTCATTGTAATCAAAATTACTGACAATTGTGAGCAATACATTTAAATTGTTTGTTATAATTTACTCTATATTACTGTTCAATGCCTTTATAATACTGTATCCAATAGTATCGTGAGTTCATTACTATCCCTTTACTTTTAAATCATAATTCAGTTGCCATTCATATTAAAATACTGCCGTTTGTATCGACACTAGTCTTAATACATTATAATCCATCAATTAATAAAACACACACATAGAAAGTCACACAACATGTCTAATATTAGTCAACAAATGTAACTACTGTTAATATTACAAGTCATGGTAGAATTTTGCCCCTAAATTGTTACAACGTATTGACTACATCTCAAAGTTAATTGTTTTTAAAACATACGATATTATATTTTTAAATAATGTTCAAATGGTTATTATGCGGCACTATATTATTGAACAGTATTTCTTTATTCTTTGCATTAAATGCAAAGAATTGAATTATTGAAACATAAATTATTGATTTAAAAGCAAAACTACTTAATTAAAAATATTGTTAAACAAATTTCATACTTAAAAATATGATTTATTAATCAAAGCTTAATTGTTTAGTCAAATAAATAACATTGGATGATTAATGAGAATATTATGTTATAATATAAATTGTTTATACAGTCAATGGTTTTTTCGTTTAATACAATCATTGTATGCATTGTTTATAAATCGTATAAATAAAAAGTTAATAATTAAAAAACGATAAAAAGTCATTAAAATATAAATATCACAAAATGCGGGGCAAATCCTATCCAATTCTGAGTACATCTGATTGAATGGTTGGCTAAAGTCTGTCTCCAAATAAGCAGACCTTTGGAATCGAAATCATTTGATGTGTAATTGCATTGAAAGGCATTGCATTGTCCTATAGATCACAATTTGAGCACAAATTGCATCCAAAAACTCGCCAATTGATTGATCAAAGAGTTGCCTGTTTTGCCAGACCTACAAGAGTTGATTTGCTTGATCGGGACTGACGCTCACTTTTGAACGATGCGTTCAATCTCTTCAACTGTTCAAACGTTACAAACATACAGACATTCCAAGAGCCCATTCGCATGAACGATGGCGTGAAGCTATACAATCAGATGACACACATCAGTATATATTGAATATTATAGAGGAATAGCGAACTAACCCTTTATAGAAACCAAAGAAGCCCTGTTTGGCCACAGTCTGAGCGCAATGTAATACACTAGAGTACTGTCCCGTCGAGTTCATGTACCGCGTCTTCACCACATCTATAGGACTGGACACCAAAGTAGCGCAAAATCCAGCTTTAAATAAGAATATGATAATTAGATTTTATAGCAATATTATGATATGTGAATCCCATACCAGTGAATGCAGCGCTGAAATGACAGGGAAGTCCATCTCTGAATATTCCGTAACTTAACAGCAATTCTTTGAATGTGTCATAACAGACGAGTTCCGCGGCGTTTACCACAGAATTACGCAAAATATTAGGTCCCAAACCTTTCCACAAGCCTTTAATGCCTTCAGACTTATAAATGGTTTGATAGGCGTGTAGTGAACCGTGATATTTTACACCTCCAGAACCCCTACTCTGGGCCTGCATTCGTACTTTTACCACATCTGTTGGCTAAATAGCATTCAAATTCTTTGATTAACACTTGAACACAACTTTTGTAACAGTTTTAACATAATATGCAAAGAAATGCAGTGATAAATACCTGAGCAAATGTGATGCCAATCGCACCCGTGGTAATTCCTGAAGCAATTCTGATCATCATCACAGAAGTAGCACTTTCTCCTAAATTAAGATGTTTTGTGTACATATCCTTTACGGGTTCATAGAGTCCCACTCGGAGTGATGCGAAAACGCACTGTCGTTGTAATCCGGGTCCTATACCGCCGTAAAGACTTTTAACACCTTCAGTGCGAGCCATACCAAACAAAGTGCCAACGAGTCCACTATATTGCGGACCCATTCCAGTTGCTTGAAGTGCCAAAACACTTGCGCCCAACTTTTTCACTGTCGAGGAAGCGATTTGTAGCCTAACTTTTGCCACCTTTTAGTTACAAAAAAAACATGAATTAGTTTATAGAAAATAAAAACTGTGATAAAACAAGACTTACATCGAGTGGAAATGTTATGATATCGGCCACACAAGCAGCGGTTCCGGCGCACAACATCTTCTCTCCCATCTTAATGTTGGTTTGATTGTTATTCTGCATCCTTCTCGATGCCTGTATTTGATTTGAACGACTCATTATTCACTTATAATTTTTCGCTTAAGACTTTTATAGACAAAAAAAGTGTTTTAAAAAATTCTTTTTCATAGAAAAACTTTCAAATTCAAGAAAATATTTTCAATTGATTGAGAATATGAAAGCGATTCTGCTTATATATGCTCGCGTTTGAGAGTACATGTATTACAAAGAATTATAAGATAAGAGGAGTACATACTCTACGGCTACCGAAGTGTGTATAAGTGTGTATATAATGGGTAACCAATGTATAACTTGTGGAAAGTTTTATCAAAACGAGTTGCACTGACGACCCCAACGCTATATATCTATTTTTAGACTTCTGGTAGGGATTGCCCGCGACTTAAACTTTTCCACTCCAACTATACTCGTGTTGTAAAAATTGGTATCATTCGCACACATGTATCGGAATATTTTTGAGAATCAAAACTAACTTAAATATATTTTTTGTGATAACTTTTGTAAATATAAAATATAAACGTTTATAAGTATAGTAATAAAGCACAGGTTATAACGCATTTATAAAACTGCAAACTTTTTAACTAATCGTACAATAAATAAAAACATTCACTAAATGAGCGAAAGAAGGATTTAATGAAAAATATGTTCAAATCATGCTTTTATTGAATTTTATGCGATGAGGACTTTGTTGTGAGGAAAAGCATTTACAGACGAATCATACCATTTTCAAACAAATCATGTAAGAAAAAACACATGATTTTGCGAATTAATTACATCATATATGAGTCGATTTACAGTTATAATAACTTATTTAAAAGTAAGTAAACGCTTAACATTGCGTTACAACACATATAATGCGATTATTGAAGGACTTTGAATATAAATTGTTATTAATAGAAGTTCCGGAACTTCAAGAGCAACCACTTCTTGAATCTGCATTTATGAGTCCGTTTTTGAGTACTTTTTAATTTAATAATATTTCTATAAATTCATTACAAATTCAGACGAGACTTGGCGTGAATCGGACTTTTATTTGTTGCAATAATTGAAGTTTCAAGGATTGTTTTTAAAAGCTTTAATAAAATATTATAAAAATATAAATATTATGATCAAATGATCCTGGGGAAAAAAACATGAGCAAGGTATTTTGAATATACATGAAATTAATTCATATTTCTGTCGTTATCATTGAATTTAAATAAATATCAATGAATAAAAATAATTGACTATATTTTTATATAAAAAAACCAATTGTTCATTCAATAGTCATCAAGTGATGAGTATTTCTGGTATAGGCATACATCTGATTACATTGTTATGCCATAATAAAATTGAAGTACAATTTCCAACAAATTTGTGATTAAATTAAAATTTATTTTCAAAATTAAGTTAAAAAATATTTACACAAAAACAAAATATTATTGGTTTACAGAATATGAGCCAAAGAACGACTTTTTATTTCATATAAACGAATTACAGCCTAAAAACTCGATTTGGGATATTTGTTGTGAAATACATTATTTAATTCAATAGGCCTTCAGATACACAGTAATTTACAATCATAAAAATAAATTCACTGTTCCTATGCAGACAAATTTATTAAAGCATTCAAAATCTCTGCAAACAATTATTGTCTGTCAAACTAGTACTGAATGTTTAAATGAAAGTAAATGATATAATAGGTTAAGTAAATTCAATTTTCAAGTAAATTGATGCAAAAAATGTGAGGCACTGAGCAAATAGCCCCGGGATCTAAACGGACTGATCGACCCTTAGATCACTTTATGAACTTTTTTTACATTCTCCAAATGTTGACATTACAGTTAATTCAATTGCTTAATTGCTAAAAAAGTACTCAATTAACCAAATGTACGCCAAAATGAGTTCAATAAGAGATATTATAAATGTCTAATAAATGCATACAGTATTTGATACACATATCGGAAACATTTGTATATGAATATGACATGAATTGTCGCTTTCAATATAATGTTGCATAAGAGCGACAAACATAACGAAACATCTTATAATCATATTATTGTAGACTTTGGGTTATTGATCAAAACATTACATTTTCTTGAGATAAGCACACGTGTAGTAAAAGTAATGTTTTGTTCATAGCTTAAGTCAAAGGGAGCAAAGTTTTGACGGAATCCAAAGTTTGCTCACAGAATGTGTGATTGATATGAAACCCAGACTTTACACCATTGACTCTGACCTACAATTGTGTCAAAACTTTTGAATTGATTTCAATTGATGTAAATATTATAGAAATTGTCTATACTTTGGACCTTTTATTTCATGTAATTTTATAAACAAAAACATTATTTTAATATTTGTCAATAAAACGTTGGATTCACGCGAGAAGTGCTATAACTTAAGGCCTATAACATAGTTAATAGTTGCGAAATATAACTTATAAATGATTAGAAAAATTCCCAGTTTTGTGGAAAAACTTTATTTTTACCGATAATTACTTCTATGAAAAGCATTAAATTTAGTTCATCTATATTTGGTTTCCATTCTATGCCTAAATTTAGGTTTTATTTTTAATATTAATGTTTAATTGGCAGGTAGTATGCATTTATAGTACGGTATACATTTTACATTGGATAATTGGTAACAAACATTAGCACTTTTTAGATAACTTTAAAGTAATTAAACTAGCTGTTTCTGATTACACGTGTTAGCACATTGTGTTCGGGTTATATTCATCAATATTTTGTAAAAATTTTCCATAAAAAATACAAACAATGATTAAAACAAATAATAAACGATATTATGAAACAATATTTACTTAATGAATAGTTAAGTAATGTTTTTAATGAAATGATGTAAACGTATAGTAAGTGTAATGTTTGATAGAGTGATAGAGAAGTCATTCATTCACTGCTGTTATCAGTTGTGAGACAAATGTTTTTTCAACACATGTTTTACTCTCTGTTATGAAAAAAGTTTTTGTTTGCAAACAATCCATTGCTTCACTTTATTGGTCTCTTTGTCTCAACGATTGTCTCATTGGTACCGATGAGTGAGCAGATCCATCACCTTTTGGACACCATTATAGATAAGGTTTGTGACAATGAGGCCATTGAGACGGCACCGGGAGGTCGGGTGAAGAGGACAGTGGGCTATGTTTTCAGTAAACAACTCTTTTTACACTGCAATCGATTGCCTAAAGTTAAGGGTCGAGTAAGTGTCCACTCATTCAATAGATCCACTCAATTGGTCTCACTTTTGACTCTTGATTTTGAAGGCACTTCTGGTCCACGAACTCATCAGAGCCTACGGTTTGATCGAAAAGTGTCGACCGATTGAATCGATTGCCGCCAATGATTGTCAGATGCGATCGTTTCATAGCCAAGAGTTTCTCGATTTTGTCCGAAAAGTCGGCCAAAATATGACCGAAGATGAGGACCAAACGGACGAAGAGTTTATCAGCGATGAGTTCGGCATCGGATACGACTGTCCGCCACTTCCACAGCTGTACGACTTGATGACACACATTGCCGGCTCGTCCATCAGCGCCGCCGACGCCATAGCGACCAAGAGATGCGATATTGCCATCAATTGGTTCGGCGGTTGGCATCACTCCCAGAGGGACGAGGCGTCCGGTTATTGCTATACCAATGACATCGTGTTCGCGATCCTTCATCTGCTGTCCCACGGCTTTGACAAAGTGCTGTACGTGGATCTGGATCTGCACCACAGCGATGGTGTGGAGAACGCATTCGCGCACTCAAACAAAGTGCTCACACTTTCCTTTCATAAGTATGAGATGGGTTTCTTCCCCGGAACCGGTCATACAAGTGATGTCGGCTTCGGCTCTAAAGGCCGATACCATTCCATTAATATTCCGCTAAACGATGGCATCACTGATGAGTGTTATGTCGATTTGTTTAAGAAAGTGATGGACAGAATTCAATTGTGTTATAAAACGCAAGTAATTGTGTGCCAATCGGGTGCCGATGGTCTCAATGGAGATCCGATGAATGCCTTCAATCTGACAATCGATGGTTACTCGGAATGTATTAAATATTTGATTTCAATGAATAAACCGCTAATACTTGTTGGCGGCGGTGGTTATCATCTGATGAATACGGCCAGACTGTGGACAGCTTTAACTGCCTGTGCGCTCAACGAGACACTCGATGATGATATTCCGGACCACTCATGCTTTCTGGCGTATCGGCCCTCATATGAACTGCATATAGAGGCCGGACTTCGGCCTAATCTCAACTCAAAACAATACATCGACAGTGTTTTGGATAAAACTTTTAAAAATTTAAGTTTTATTAATAACTAAATGATTATTTTATTTGAATATTTTCTAAATTTACAATACATTTCATATTAAAAATAAGGACCGAGAGCTTTCATGCCTTACGATTAAAAATATATAATTAAAAGTCATTTGAAAATCGTATAAATTAAAAGTATATATTAATAAAAATTGATTATTCCTGCGAGACATCAGTGTTAACCACGGGTTCAGTAGCCGTGACATCGATGCTAACCACGGGCTCAGTAACCGTGACATCAGAGTTAACCACGGGTTCAGTAACCATGACATCGATGCTAACCACGGGCTCAGTAACCGTGACATCAGAGTTAACCACGGGTTCAGTAACCATGACATCAGTGTTGACCAGTGGTTCAATAACCGCGTCATCAGTGCTAACCATTGGTTCAGTAACCATGGGTTCAGTATCCGTGACATCAATGTTAACCACGGGTTCAGTGACTGTGACATCCAAATCCATGGCGGCCACCGATCTGTCGAATTCATCTTCAGTTTCGAACACTGACTCATCTAAAGAGTCGACTGTTGTCTCGGCAGCACTCATGTCATTCACTAGTTGTCCACTTTCTGGTGGAGTCAAAGATGACATCTTAAACGCCTTTCGACTTTCTTTGTAGTATTGGTTCGGATGATTGAAACTGATTTCGGGATACCATTGATGCTTACATGAGAAGTACTTGGAACAGGCCTTCACGTGATCTTGTTCTTTCTCCACAATCTCTCCAATCTATACAATCATTCACAACATTTTGCTTAAAAATTCACTTTACGTTAATTTAATGGTAAGACTCACTTCATTGGACTCATTCTCTTTGATGTCATGTTTGCGCAAAAATTGTTTCAAATGATTGGCATCGAAATGCTTGAAAGGACAGCCGTGAGTGTCGGCAACTCCGGGCGGGTTGTTGTTAATGATTTTGCTGCAGCCGTACGCCATTCCGGCCACTTTTCGGCCCTCTTTCCCGTAATTATAGCGAATACCATAAGAGTATTCTTTTTGGAACTTCTCTGGTGTTGTCTTTTTGATGAACTCTTCGCGAAAGAAGTCCAACGCGTCCTCAAGAGTGAGACCAATACCCCTGAGAAAGAGGCCGTAATGGACGCGACCGTAATATTTCAAGTGATGCTCTTTTCGGAGTATTTCGTGAATGTTTTGCATACACGGAGGGAATGACTCTTTCGATAGACTGTCAATCATCTGCGGTCTCACTATTTCTCTGCCCAATTCGTCCTCAGTCTTCACACTACTGTTCCGGTTGTCTATGATTTGTGTGTGCATTGAATGCAGTCGAGGAATGAGTCGCTGGTCTTCTTCTAATTGATGTAACGATAACTGCATTAACTATAATGTAAAACATAATTACATTAATAAAAATGTCAATTAATTGAAAAAATATATTGAATTACAGCCAAAGAACGGGAGAGTTCTGTACGAAATTTGCTACAAATAACAGAAACCATGTCCTGAACCATAATATACGCGAATCCATTGTTTAGGTATACTTTTCTGTTTCTGATCGCATCCAACGATTCTTCAAATGGTATTCTATAGACCACAGCATCAGCCGAATTACGCAAAGACTGATTCCAATTGATTTTCTGATTCATACTATTCCTCTCCTCCCCTGAAATGGGCTCAAAATTAAATCCATTTTTGGACAAAATTGACGGCAATTCGGGTATAATTTTGGGATCCATGAGTCGGACTCTCAATATCTCGCACTCGCGGCTAATAAACCATCGCTTGAGTTCATCGCTTCGGCAGTAATACATTCGCAGCAAAAAGTGTGAGATTTGATCCCTTCTTCTGGCGTTCTCCAGATCCGTACTCTTGGAGTGTGTCTTCGACTAAACCAATCAAAACTTATGGTCAGTTCTCGAGAACATACATAAGTAATCATCAAATATAGTGATATTTACCCCCAAATACAAGTTCTTCTCGTATTTGGATTCAGCGCTTATTAACCGATTCTCAAGGCTTTCAAAATAGGGTTTACTTCTCTTCCGGTTCGCCGTCTTCTCCAAACCCTTAAGCATTTCGTCGCAAACCATAAGAACTGTTGGTTTGGATCAAAACTATTATCAGTTAACGTAATGGCAATCAAAGGTGTGAATCAATTGAATGAACAAACGATTGAGTCTTTCGGCGACCAAATCCTCGGACTCTTCGAGCGATATCTTCCCGAACGGAGGGATTGTATAGAAGTTAATACACGACTCGTATGGCTTAGTCCTGGCGTCCGTCACATGAGTGGACTCTTTGGCGATTCCCAGACCAGTGAAGCGTCGGTTCTCTCGGTTTTCGTTGAATTGCATTTTCACTCAAATCGTGGCTATAATTGAATCAATGGTTAAACCAAATGAGAGTTAATTGAGTCGTCGATCGATGCAAACAATGCAACACTTTTGCCACAAAACACACAACCATTCAATGTTTTGCCGCCAAACTGGGAATTGCATAATGAATGGCATGACTCGAGCTCTGCATTTCACGCTATACTCCACACCTGCTATGAGTTGAGAATTTGTGGCAATACTCCCAATACTCCCAATGCTATAACATTGAAGGCAAGTGTTGTGTAGTGTTGTAGGGGTAGAGAGAGTGTGAGTATAAGCCATGAGTAGTGGCGATACAAACGATTGCAGCGCTTGTAAGGCATTGAAAGCCATTGCAGGCAATAATGGATTGCATTTGACGTTTGAATGCGTTATAAAAGGCGTCAAAACAGTCGACTGTTTTTGTTTACAATTCAATCGCTAATTGTTTTTACGATTTAAACATTTGTTTCGCTTATTATTTGTTGACATCTTTTTGTCGCATTCATTGCCATCGAGTCTCGCATTGAAAACGATTGTCCATTGAGTGGACACACCTCTGGAGTGTGCGATTGTGGATCAGATCGTTGGAAGTGAGTGGGAGTGACAATCAGTAGATAAGACAACGATATGTTGCCATTGAGTGGAACCGTTTGGATGTTAATGCCATTCGTGGCATCACTTGTGGTATGTATTCATTCAATAGATTAAATGGCAATCAATTGACTCTCATTTGGTCTTAATTTTTAGGCAATTTTAATATTTTCGGTATTATATGTGAAACGATATCGCAATCCGTATGAGTCGGACAGATGTTCAACAATCACATCAATTGTGGCACTCTTTGTATCACTGCTTACCTGTGCTCTCATTCCCGTCGATATATTCATTGTCTCCTTTATGAAGGACTCTTCGGCTCACTTCAAAGTATGTCTTCACTAATCATTTGTTTTTCATTTATTTATTCATTTAATTGTCTTATCATTGCTTACGAAAGGATTGGGCGCTGAATATAACGCAAAGGGATGCCATCGAGAACTCAGTTCTCTATTCATATTACAGTAATTGATATGCAATTTATTGAAACAATTTTGTGGATCAGATCGTTGGAAGTGAGTGGGAGTGACAATCAGTAGATAAGACAACGATATGTTGCCATTGAGTGGAACCGTTTGGATGTTAATGCCATTCGTGGCATCACTTGTGGTATGTATTCATCCAATAGATTAAATGGCAATCAATTGACTCATTTGGTCTTAATTTTTAGGCAATTTTAATATTTTCGGTATTATATGTGAAACGATATCGCAATCCGTATGAGTCGGACAGATGTACAACAATCACATCAATTGTGGCACTCTTTGTATCACTGCTTACCTGTGCTCTCATTCCCGTCGATATATTCATTGTTTCCTTTATGAAGGACTCTTCCGCTCATTTCAAAGTATGTCTTCACTAATCATTTGTTTTTCATTTATTCATTCATTTAATTGTCTTATCATTGCTTACGAAAGGATTGGGCGCTGAATATAACGCAAAGGGATGCCATCGAGAACTCAGTTCTCTATTCATATTACAGTAATTGATATGCAATTTATTGAAACAATNTATTTATTCATTTAATTGTCTTATCATTGCTTACGAAAGGATTGGGCGCTGAATATAACGCAAAGGGATGCCATCGAGAACTCAGTTCTCTATTCATATTACAGTAATTGATATGCAATTTATTGAAACAATTAATTTAAATCATTTGTTTTGTCAATCATTTCCAGCTCTGTATTCGTTGATATTTTTCTGTGTATTTATTTTGATTCCTTTCGTATATTTCTATTACGAGGAGAAAAGCGAAGAGGGATTCACTTCGGAAGGGGTTTGTAACTAATATGACATTAAAACCATTGTATAATATATAATATAATTATGATTGTGTGCGAAAACAGCGCTTTTGTGGTGCATTCAAATATAGTGTTGGCTTTCTATTCGTCGCCGTTATTCTCCTATTGATTGGGTATTAATTGCTTGCATTTGTGGTCCGTTTGTTAACTAATATATGTATTGAATTGTCTGACAGGGCTTTCATACCGTTACACGAATATCATCCACACAATAACGGAACGAATAGCAGTTCCGAATGGATCGATGACATGAAGTTCATATTGGATGACTTGAGCAGAAACCGTGGCGAAGACGCGCTGTCTATGGTGTTAAGCATACTGTCATCGGTGGGAGTGATCTATTTGGTGATCTTCACGGGCTTTGGTATGTTTTCGTTTCCCATCGGTTTGATTCGAGGCACTCGAAGCGCTCGTATGGAAATCGAACGCATCCAAGACTCACATCTCGCCAATCAAACGAAGATCAATGCACTCAGAGATCGGGAGCGCATCGGAAACCGATTGACTCCACGAGAGAAGAGACAATTGGTTAAACTCGAAGAGAATGAGAGGATTATCACTCGCGAAGAGGAATATCTGTTGACATACAGAGGCTCTCTGTTCTATAAGTTGCGAAATCTCGTTCGTCCCCTTCAGATAGGGCTCGGACTCCTTGCCATCATTCTCTCGTTGATTGTCTGGATTTCACTTCTTATTACAAAGTAATGAATGTCTTAAATAACTTTGATTTAATTCAATATAATTCCAAATTTCAATCTTCAGTATTGATAAAGCGATGCATTCGTTGGGAATGGAAATGGGTTACGCGTTACCCAAACCTCAAATCCCGAATCCAATCGATATAATTTTGGTCACATTTCAACGTGTATTCCCATTGGATTACATACTGATCCTATTAATGTCCCTATTCTTCGTTTTGGCCACAATGTCTGGCCTCAAGAATCTGGGCATTTGGTTCTTCTTCGTCAGGGTATGCCTTATGATCAATGATAACGCTTTAAATATCAAACAATTCTTTGCATTACTTTCCAATAGCTGTACAAAATTCGTGTCAAGAAATCCAGTCCTCAGGCATTGCTTATGCTTTTTGGGACTTTAATGTTGACAACTTTGGGCATAAATATACTGTTTTACTGTATTTCTCCGCAATACGTGACGTTTGGAAGTCAACACTATATCAACGCCACGGCTAACAATACGGTCTCCATTTGTTCGTCGAAAGCGTCGTCAGGTATGGGTTTCGCTTCAATACATGACTTTAGTTTTGATTTAATGAAAACAATTTGGTTGCAGACGACTGTACAATGACTCGTGTCAGCCGATTGTTGGTTCGCTTCTTCTATAAGGCCTGGTTTTTTGGCGCTTTCTATTACTGGTCGATGTGGGCCTTCATTGGGGTCAGTCATCCACTGATTCACTCATTACTTGTCTTGTATTATGTTTTTCTAATTCGTGGATTGATTTGTGTGAATAGGTGTCAGCCGAGAGTCGTTATATACACTAGGATTCCGGCTGGTCTAGACACTGGCTTCCTGAGTATCTACTACTGCTGGAGCTTCTCTCACTGCTGCTAGACTCTCGTATTTAGGGATAAACAAAATTTGTAAAATCACATTTAGTTTATATAAATACAGATATTTAGAATATAATCCCAATTGTAATAAATCTTAATTCTTATTGTATTTGATGTAATTTAATATTATTTATGGATTATTGTGTGATATCTCTTATGGCAGTAATCTTTTGAATTAATTTTTGCTCTCAGCAATATATGTGATCCTAAGGCCGACCAGATCTGTGACCGAAGGACTCATAGATGATGACGACCTCGAAGAGAGTGACGACGATCTGAGAGCATAAATCCCTATTTGTTTTAAACATTTTACAGATATTTAGAATATAATCCCAATTGTAATAAATCTTAATTCTTATTGTATTTGATGTAATTTAATATTATTTATGGATTATTGTGTGATATCTCTTATGGCAGTAATCTTTTGAATTAATTTTTTACAGATATTTAGAATATAATCCCAATTGTAATAAATCTTAATTCTTATTGTATTTGATGTAATTTAATATTATTTATGGATTATTGTGTGATATCTCTTATGGCAGTAATCTTTTGAATTAATTTTAAAATATAAAGTAATATTTAAAAATAAGTCAATTTCAGTCTATTCTGTTTTAATCTTCGGTCGGTATATATGAGCGGCGATCGCAACGCTTGCGTTGAGGAAGAATGAGACGATTAAAGTGGTCACTACTATGCCGTCCATTATTGATAGCCATAATGTGGTCAGACGTGCTGTCAATCACAACACAAATTAATATACAATTTAGGACAAAGTATACAATGGATGTGACCTACAGGCACACGAACACGCGTTCAGACTCCACGTCAGAGCTGACACTTGTCCCGAGTCTTTGTTCTTCACGATTGTCCACAATTGAAGCGCTTTACTGTACCATCCAATAGGGTTCCCCAATTGCTGTCATTTATCACACAATTAGTCACAGCCTTAAAACTCAACTAAATATAACTCACAATTAATATAACGGACACCCATATAGGGATCACATGAATGCCAATCGACACGTGAAACAAACATATTCTGTAAATTCAGTGAAAACTAATGTTTGAATATTTTTCAAATCGTAAATGTATTAAAAATATATTTACGCGAGAAGTGATAAAATCCATTTCATATTTAATGAATGATTGTATCGCAGAACCGTCACAACAATTATAATATCTGTTGAGAAATGTGTTGATTGAATGGACAGGTGTTTAGTGAGAAAGCATGCGATCATACCTTGAATGGCAAGAATCGGGTACTCGGAGTACATCGACAGCGGGTATCGATTGGCGTAAGAGTAGGACAACATCGTTAGGTATCTGTTATATACAAATCATACTTATAATTGGTTCAAGTTATGGATGTGACCTACAGGCACACGAACACGCGTTCAGACTCCACGTCAGAGCTGACACTTGTCCCGAGTCTTTGTTCTTCACGATTGTCCACAATTGAAGCGCTTTACTGTACCATCCAATAGGGTTTCCCAATTGCTGTCATTTATCACACAATTAGACACAACCTTAAAACTCAACTAAATATAACTCACAATTAATATGACGGACACCCATATAGGGATCACATGAATGCCAATCGACACGTGAAACAAACATATTCTGTAAATTCAGTGAAAACTAATTTGTTTTAATATTTTTCAAATCGTAAAATGTATTTAAAATATATTTACGCGAGAAGTGATAAAATCCATTTCATATTTAATGAATGATTGTATCGCAAAACCGTTACAACAATTATAATATCTGTTGAGAAAAGTGTTGATTGAATGGACAGGTGTTTAGTGAGAAAGCATGCATAGTATGGAACTTACCGTTCTTAGCCCATGAGCCTCATGTAGCTGTCGCCCATAGCTAACCGCATTCTCATCCTGTTGTAGCAATCCATAGACAATATATGTTTAGTATGAATATTAACCAAGTTCAGTTACACACATCCAGACATACGCCCACAGCTCCAGAACTAAACTCTGAAGACTCAGTCCACGGCTGGACTTGCTTTGAATCAAAGCAATCAATTGAGGGATTTTCAGTACAAGACATAATAATGTGGTCAATGCGGAGCAAATCAAATAAATCCAATCATTGAGACCACTATTGGACGTCATTATGGGTTTAAAATTCAATTTTAATCAATACTAAAACTAATTTAAAAACTAAAACATAAAAATTTTATTTAATAATGCAATAAAAATAATTGTTAATAATTATGAATTATAAATAAAATGGTCAAATGAGATGAGTGTTGACTGTATGGCACATGTGTATGATTGACCTTGCTCATTTATTGGCCCAATCATAGCATATAAATATTGTTAAATCACTTGAAAACTACTTTCAATGGATTGACTCTTTAACAGAGTATTCAATATTTTGCAAAAAATTTTCTCCTATTTTTTGGATGCATTTAAAGAGCATTTGATTGCATAACACATGTGTTGTGTTGTCAACAAAACGTGTGTTTCCTATCGTTTCTATGGTTTCATTAAAACATCATTTGATTGTTATTTAAATGTAAATTCATTTAACGCTTAGTTTTTTAATACATTTAATTGTTTGTCAACACAAATGTTAACATTTAGTCCAACAATCACTTAACAGTAATGTCCAAAATGTCATAACCATATGATTATACAGTGTTTGTATAGTTATTGTAAACTGTCATTAAAAGTCTCGCAAAACTACACGTCATTTGATATTAAAATTAACAATTAATTGAGATTTAATGCCAAATATGTCTCAAATGAGCGACAAATCAAATATAAGTTACGAGAAGTTGAAGTCATTTGCGGTTGAGATGAATGAGAAAGAAGTGATGAGTGGTGTGAGTGCGAGGGGTGTGTCGGCATTGGATGAGCTGAGGAATGGCACCAAAGAGACCCTGAAGTACGCCTCTCTGGTCACACTTACCGTCCAAAACGCCGCCTTAAGCCTCACAATGAGGGCCTCCAGGACTCAGAACCATCTCTTCATATCGTCGACGGCTGTCATTATCTCTGAGATTATTAAACTCCTCACATGTCTTGTGATGGTCTTCATTGACGAGGGTTTGTATGGATTGGCAATCATTTCAAATCAAACATAACGTATGTATCAATTGATAGGAAGTGTCCGAAAAGTGGTGTTATCTATAAGAAGGCATATAATCAATGAGCCGAAGGACACGTTGAAAGTGGCGGTTCCGTCGATCGTGTACTACATCCAGAATAACCTGATATTCTTGGGCGCCACACACTTGGATGCGGCCACTTCTCAGGTCACATATCAGCTCAAAATCCTGACGACAGCTCTATTCTCGGTGTTTGTCCTGAAGAAGCGTTTATACAATCATCAATGGCTGGCATTAGTCATACTCTTCGTTGGCGTGGCTTTAGTCCAATTGGTCGAAATCTCCAAGAAGTCCAACACGTCGTCTCTGGAACAGAACCCTATGATTGGATTCACAGCAATACTCATGGCGTGTGTATTGTCTGGTTTTGCCGGCGTTTACTTCGAGAAGATTTTGAAAAGCAGTTCCGATGTCTCGCTTTGGATTCGGAACATACAGTTGAGTGCAATCGCCATTCCCTTCGGTCTGATCCAAGTGTTTGTCACGGATTCACAAATGGTCTCAGAAAAGGGCTTCTTCTATGGCTACAGTCTATTGACTTGGATTGTGGTCTTACTTCAGGCACAGGGAGGGCTTCTGGTGGCAGTTGTGGTGAAATATGCCGACAATATACTCAAAGGATTCGCCACTTCGCTGTCTATTATCCTGTCATGTATTGTCTCGGTATACGTCTTCCAATTCGAAGTGAGCCTCCAGTTCGTGATCGGAGCCTCACTTGTCATCGGATCCATATTCCTCTACAGCAAACAGCCCACAAGTGCTGACTCTTCAGTATTCAAGTTATCCAAAAGTTTGGACAAATCCTAACTATTTTATGGTATAAATAGCTAACTATTATTTATTACAGATATATTTATTTAACTTAATATTTTTCATTCAGAAAAATGACTTAAAAATGAAAACAATTTTTTTGTTAAATTTTATGATAAAAATTCTTATTGTTTTATAAAACTGCAGAATTTATGCAAATTTTAACGACTAATTGTATTCATGATTAGTCAACACAGTATTTAAATTGATTTTCTTGTTGTCAAATAAATGTATGTAAAATTAATTACAATTATATAAAACAGATTTTAAGACATTTCAAAACTTTATCGCAAATTGAATTTTTCATTGGCTTTTTTATCAACACTTTCTGTCTGTGTTTATAAATACAGTTGTAATCAAACAGTGAATAATAAGTCTAATATATAATTCAAAAATTAATTAAAAACATCATATAAACAGTGAGACCGAAGTATCACAACTCTCTCTCTCCCCTCCCCTTCACAATCACACTCTTCTTTCGTACTTAATATAAACACTCCAATGATTTGATCAGAACTTATGTTTGACTTAAAATCAAATCATTTCTCAATTGAGAGATCAATAAACGGTTTAAAAGCGATTCAATAAACACATGAGTCGTTTGACTCGCAAAATAATTCAATTAAATTATCGAAAATCTGAATAAATGGGCACAAAATAAAGGAAGGATTTGTACAATAAATTATTTTACACTAAATATTAATCTTCAGATTCAAACTCCTTTCAAAACACGGTAAAAATGAATGAGTTTTCGGGGGTTTTGTTTTGTTTAAAATAATATTCATTAACAAAAATTGATGCATTATCTAAGAGTTGTCTATGTTTTACAAAGTTTTTGAAAAATTGAAACAAAAGCTAGAATTGAGTGCAGAATAAGTCTTCAATTTTATAAATTACAGCATTTGGAGGTAATGCCCACTTTGGGGTCCTGTCGAGAGACGTTCACTCTATCGGCGCTTTCCAACGGATTCTGACCCGCCGTTTGCTATTTCATCGAAACAAGTAAACAGATAATCAATAAATTATACAAATATACAACCAATCAATGCAAACCTTATTGAGTATGGCTTCGGCTAAATCGAGAAAAGCTCTATCGATATTGATGTTTGCCTTCGCACTGGTCTCGAGAAACCTGATGCTGTGCTCTCTGGCGATGGTTTCACCCCTTTCTTTAGTGATCATCCGTTTGTCATCACAATCGCACTTATTTCCTAAAATCATTTTCTCCACGTCTTCGTTGGCGTGCTTTACAATCAGATAAGACAGACGTTAGATAAGAGGACTATAACAACGACAGCACATGTATTACTTCATCGATATTTCTAAGCCATTTGGCGATGTTATCAAAGCTCTTGGGATTAGTGATGTCGTAGACCAACATTATGCCCATCGCTCCTCTATAATAGCTCGTCGTTATCGTATGAAACCTATCCATCATTTAATCAAACCATCAGTACATCACTCCATATAAAGCTAATGCCATATATAGTACACATACCTCTCCTGTCCGGCCGTATCCCTGATCACCAAAAAACATACAAATTGTCATTAAATGTAATTTCATTTCAATCTTATGCTTCAATACAAACCAAATTTGAAGTTTAATCCGTTTTCCTCTCAATTCAATTGTCTTAATCTTGAAATCAATGCCTGAATGGGGAAAGAGATTGTTGTGATACTGTCATCGATTGGTGACAATGGTATGAATGAGTGGTCAGACCTATGGTTGAGATGAATGTGGTGTTGAAGGCGTCGTCGGAGAACCTGAAGAGTATGCAAGTCTTGCCCACTCCTGAGTCGCCGATGAGTAACAGCTTAAACAACAAGTCGTACGTCTTTTTGGCCATCGCTTTGTCGATCAGATGATGGATCAGATGATGGATCAGATGATGAGTGACTGTATTGAGTGGGTGTTAGTGTTGTTGTTGTGAATCTATAAAACCAAACAATTGTTTGTTTTAATACAGCATTGAATGAATGGGCGAATGAGTGAAGCAATGACTGCACTAAACATAATAGCCTTTAATTAACAACTCATGAATGCATTCAATTCAGTCAATTCACAATCAATTCAATGCACAGTCAATACAGTTATAGTGACTAATGGTATAACGTATAGGCATTGGCCGTACAGACTGTACAGTATAGCCAACACTAGTCATACACTCTGTACACACTGTGGAGACTGTACTCTATTGTAACTTATCATTCAATCATAAGACTCGTAAGAATAGTGTAAGAAATAGGTGTTCACATCCTTTCCACTTACTGTATGCCAAACCATTCACTGCTTATGACCGTCAGTACAGTGTAGTCACCACTCGAATGATACTCTATTTATGATATGCAGAAACATTAACGATGTTTCAAATGGTTTGGGGAAAGCATTGAAGGCAGTGAACGGCGAACCACTCAATAACCGTTGCCATTGTTTTCGCACATTTCTTCACGTCATTTATGTACACTTTTAAACTTTCTTTTCATTGCTATGAATATTACATGAATTGATGCGATAATTAATTTCTTTCATTTGTTAATAATTAACAATTAATTAATATTTTATTTTAATTACACTTTTATTTTATTAAATCATTTATTTTTATAATCATTTCCTTAACAAAAGAGTGTATAAATAATTAATGCATTACATTTCACACACATATAATATTACAAAGTTGTGGAACTTTACAATTTGTTATTCTAATTTTAAAAATCTAGCAACATAATTGTCCTTGCTCAATTTTCATTATAATAACATGCTTAAATATGTCTAAATAAATGACTAATTTTTGTAATTGAAACTAAATTAACTATTATTATCTACAAAAAATATTTACATGCTAATAAGAACATTTTATTTATCGTAAATTAATTATTTTGTAATATCAAAAAAAAATATTTTTTAAAGTAAAATGTTCTCAAAATACATAACAGAATTTTTAAGAATTTGGAAGAATTTTTACTAAATTTAAAATATTTTAAAAATCAAATAACTTTTTAATTGTTTTAAATTATAAATCTTCCAATTTATTTGCTGATTATATACAGCTAATTAAAAGTACATAACTTAAAAACGTGAAAATTTTACATTTCTAGAAACATTTATGCTAAAGTTTCAAAATTTAGCCTAAATTAAAGATTCTTTTGAATATTTCACTGAAATTTTCATCTTTAAATATGACACCACTTTTATAAGCTATTAAATGAGTATTAAAGCCAATAAGACTACTACGCGTCAGTCTACTTAATTCATAATGTGTTATATTTAAAATTAAAGCAAGTAATCTATGTATTTGGTATATGGCTCTCTGTGCTGAGATTTGGTTCTAACTAGCCCTGGCCAAACATTTGATTTATAAAAATTATAGTTACCATCATCACCACTCGATATTTTTAATAATCCATTTAATCTAAATTATTGTAATCCCGTGTAATCTAAATGCCGGTATTATTTAGTTAGCAGTTAGTTCAGGGAAATTGATTATAACATGCTTTAAAAGAATTGTAATTTTCTTATAACTTATAAAAAAACAATTATTACTTGACAGTAAAAAACTAAAGGTTGAGCTATAAAAGTGTGTTTTAACTTATTTACCACTAATTTGTGTGATAAATTACAAACACTGATAGCATATCAGTGTAAACCGGATAACTTTATCATTAACAAGTGTTTTAACTTAAAATGTCTACAAATTTAATTAAAACATTTACAATAACGTTAAGAAATAGCTAACAATATTGTAAGCAAAAGAAAAAATAACGTCTAAACAAATGAGTACTGCATTAAAAATAATTAATTTGCACATGTTTTAATGAAATTATAAATATTTTCTTATAACTAGTTTATAAAACCATTAGTTTTGAAACAAGAACTAAAAGTTATCATTTCAAAATTAAAAAATCTTCTTATTTGTTAACTTATTCTTTAATACAACATATTCTCTCTCTCTCTCTCTCTCTCTCTCTCTCTCTCTCNTATGGCAATGGTTATGTTGGCACAGGTATATTTAGCCTTCATATTAATGTGTCGGTCGTTTCATTTCTCTCATATTTATAAATATGTACATGATTTAGCACAATTAACTTCTTATTAATTTGTAAACATGATAAATTATAACACTATAATTTAATGTAATATATTGATTGATATTGTATTAACTAAAAATCAGTTGCTTATTACCAAGTTTGTCAGTACAATACACACTGATTGAAAACTAATGATTTAATTACTAAAAATTCATTAGCTATTAATAATATAATACACATATAACATATAATTTTTATTATAAGCTAATTATATGTCACCCAATCATAAGTGTTACTGAGAATTATTTAATGAATGCTTAAAACATTTGACCGTTGCTTAGGAAGAATGCAAACAATCAATAATTGTATAGAATATGGGTTTTGTTATGAGAGAAATGAAACGACCGACACATTAATATGAAGGCTAAATATACCTGTGCCAACATAACCATTGCCATACAGTAGTCAATACAATAGGCAAACAGCAATGACAATGCGATCTGAGTTTTACCACAAAATGCATACACATCTCCAAATAAGTATTTACTATTTGTATTGATATTAAGTTATTATTATTAACCATAAAAAGTTACATAACATGGTTAAAATTAGAAACAAATGGATTTTATCGATAAATTGTTTACTCAAATAATGATAATTATCGATAAAACTTTTTCAAAATATATATTCTTAATAATATTCTGTTAAACATTTGTTAATTATTTGAGATGTCATGTAGTAATCATTGATTAGTTTATTGCTGTTATAATATTATTATAAATAATAATTTTAAAAATCAACAATTTTTGTGTAATGTATGAGAAATAAGTATTATTTGCGATGAATAAGGATAAGAATAAAAGTAATTCTAGCCTTCAGTCAATTGATTCACTGAAAGATACGACCAGTGATATAAATTCCGGTCACAACAGTGCCAATAGTGGTTACTCTACTTCTTCTTCCTCTTTGATCACAACCACATCGAGTGTTAGTTTTTTGCAACCAATTAATGTAAACGAAGCCCGAAATACTAATTATTTAGTCGGAAGTGTTGGAACAACTGTATGTTATGACAACGTAAATGCGATTTCAATGATTGATAATTTTATTCATTTATTCACATAAAGGATTCACTTCTTGGAAGAGAAGAATTACTGAAATTATTTCCAAATTCAAAAATGAGGTATTTTTAGCATTTATGAATTCTGTGTTTAAAACAATAATAATAATTGTTATATTTTAATAGGCTTTTTGTGGTTTCATGGAATATGAGCTCCAGAATGGGTCCGCAGAATATTAAAGACCTATTACTTCCCGAATCCATTTCATTTGTTCCCGATTTATACGCCATTGGCATACAAGAGGGTCCTTCGGGTGACATCAATCAATTGCAAATCCAAATGCAGGCCACTATAGGCGCGAGTCATGTATTACTGCATTCGAGTACATTAGGAGTCCTTCATTTATCACTATTCATACGCCGGGATCTCATTTGGTATTGCACTACACCTGACGACGCCTTCTTCAACAATCGGCCGTCGGCTGCGAATTTGGTGAAGACTAAGGGAGCGCTCGGCATCTCATTCGCACTCTTTGGCACTACATTTCTCTTCATTAACAGCCACTTAACGGCTCATCAAAACAAAGTAAAGGAAAGAATAGAAGAATATATGAAAATAAGCGAAGCGTTAAATTTGCCAAAGAATTTACGTCCACTGAATCCACGATATATGAGTCGAGACGTGACCGCGAGGTTTGACTGTGTCTTCTGGTTCGGAGACCTTAACTTTCGTTTAGAAATCTCTGGACAGGAAATGACAAACATTATTAATAGACCCACAAATGTATTGAATGTCTCGTTGGATAAGTTTAAAGAGACGGATCAGTTGACAAATGTGATGAGCAGAGGACTAGCATTCAAAGGGTTCTATGAGTCTTCGTCGCCCAGATTTCCTCCGACTTATAAATTTAAATACGGATCCAATGATTACGATCTCGTCAGCCAAAGAGTGCCCTCTTTTACCGACAGAATCCTATACCGATCTAAACAGGTCTCTCATATAAGTCCTTTACTGTATGATTGGGTGCCGCAAATGGATTCATCAGATCATAAGCCAGTATTTGCTTTATTTGATGTCCAACTGAAGCCCGGGAGGGATGA